GAGCTGTTAGCAGCTTCCTGCAGCAGTGAAAACTATGACCTGGTCAAGTCTGTCTGTGCCTTCAGTCTCTCCTCAGGTCAGTCTGGGATCATCCAGGTCAAGAGGATCCAGTCTGTCATCAAACATGAAGCTAGACATATAAAATATTTGAAGGACCGAGATCTGACCGATGAAGGTGAACTGACTTTAGCTGCAGGTGGTTCTTTGATATGAACTTTAGTTTCCTTTAGTTTCATTAGTCAAACATTAATTCATTCATTCTTCTTGTGCTTTGGCTAAAAACAAAATGTTATTATATGAAGAGGGTTTGTAAAACAGAGTCCAGATCTCAGCAGTGGTCTGAGGTCTCTCACAGAGACCACTTTAACCCCCCCCCCCCCCTATCTAATTAATCAGAATATTTGTGCCTATTTTCAAATTCTAATATTGATCAGATAAATTACAATAAGGTATTTTCTACTGATCTGACCTGAAAGCTCAGACTGCACATGTGATGAGGAGAAAATCCACAGGAGCTGAAATCCTCTGTGGATTCATCAACATGAAAACATTGATTATTGAAGCTTTAATCTGATCAATGATCTGAATTCATCACAAATAAGAACTGTCTCTCAAACTAACTGTGACTACAGTGAACCTCTCAGTGGCCTCAGGTCCTCAGCTGCTGGGGAAAGTTAGATCACTTCGTTAAGGTTAGACTTTTTATAATAAAGTCCCTCAAGTCAAAGGTCATTTCAGCCTGTCAACATGTTTGTCCCTGAGGCGTCTTCACATCAGACACTGTTTCCACTAATTCCCTCAGAAGCAATTACAGAGCTGTTTACCAGTGAGACAAGACAGCCCGAGCAGACCTCAGTACTGGTGTGACTGGTCCACAGAGGACTGTAATGACTCTCCCTCTAAACACCCCCCCCCCAACCCCCCCCCCCCCCCAGCAACAGCATCAAGTGAGTCAGCCTCACATTAGTTTTAAAACATTAATTTAACGGTCAGTAAAAAACTGTACATGAATAGTTAGAATACACACACACACACACACACACACACACACACACACACACACACACACACACACACACTGTCTGTCATTAGTGACTCTACATGACTTTCTTAATCAGGGGCTGCTATCACATATACAGTACATATATGTATATCATGTGATATGTATATCAATGCACGTTACATTGCATTTGCAATCTGCACTATATATCTATCAATCATATACTGTATATGGATGCTTGGTCAGGATCCTTGGTGTCTCTTTGTAACACAGCTTCAGTGTCATTCTTCAATGTGCAGGTTACTTCATGTATTTGGAAAACCACAGAATGTGTCAGTAAAATCTTCACAGACAAGCTGTTTGTTTTCCTCCTAAATATCTGATCTCACAGTTTAATCTCCTCCTGTAGTGACTCCAGCTTTATTAAACTGTTTCTGGTTCAGTTCAGACTCTCTCAGATTTTTGTTCAGGTTTAAGATGCTGGTCTGGTTTAATACAGAAATGGTTCAACCTGTTTATTTACATTTAACATAAACGTCCATCTGTACTGACTTGAACCAAAGAGCTGTTGTTGTCTGGTCTCTGGATGTGAACCTGTGAGCCTGGATGTGAACCTGGACAGTCCTGCACTTAGTATATCTTCCATCTACCACAGCCTCTTCCTGACATTTATATATATATATATATATAAGCTGGCCAAAGGAGGAGACAGAGGCCACTAATATCAAGACAAGGAAGCTCCTCACAGTGCATGTAGGGTGTCATCCCAAGTCCGACACCCTGTGACTGTACACTAAGCGGAGCGAGGGAGGCCGAGACTGGTGAGCGTCAGAGCCACTGTCCAGGATGAAAAAACCAAGATCCAGGAATACATCAGGAAGATGCCCCCTGAAGATGAGCTATAAGTGAATACCTCAGGCAGCAGAAACCCGATAATTCAGAGGGGGAGGATGAACCATCATGGAGAGACAAGCCCCTACACTGTATGTACCACTGACAGATAGATGAAAGAAATCCTTTCTGTGGCTGGAAAAGGATTGAAAGACAAGCACAGAAGCACTAATCATGGCAGCACAAGAGCAGGCACTTAGTACAAGATCAATAGAGGTGGGGTCTACCACACCAGGCAGGACCCCAGGTGCAGGCTGTGCAAAGATGCTCCTGAGACAGTCCAGCACATTATAGCAGGGTGTAAGATGCAGGCAGGAACAGCTTACATGGGATGTCATAACCAAGTGGCTGCCATAGTGTACAGGAACATCTGCACTGAGTATGGGCTGGAAGTCCCACGGTCAGAAACGAAGACTAATGTGGTTAAGAATGACCGAGCTAAGATCCTGTTGGACTTCCAGATCCAGACTGACAAACTGGTAATTGCTAACCAAACGAGTTGATAGACAAACAACAGAAGAAGGCAGTGGTGATAGATGTAGCAATCTTGAGCCACAGCAACATCAGGAAAAATACCAAGGGCTGAAAGAGGAGCTAGAAAGGATGCGGGGAGTAAAGGCAACAGTGGTGCCAGTGGTCATCACACTGGGGGCTGTGACCCACAAACTGGGAGAGTGGCTCGAGCAGATTCCAGGTACAACATCTGAGGTGTCTGCACATGAGAGCGCAAACCTAGGAACAGCTAAGATACTGTGCAGAACCCTCAAACTCCCAGGCCTCTGGTTGGTTGGTGGTGTGTCTTCTTCAAGCTTGGGTCTTCAGCTTTTTTTATTTGTTTAATAAAAAGTTCCAGTTTGTGCAGGATAGTGTGTCCGTGGTTGCAGATGCAGGAGGAGGGGCTGAAGGGGTTATTGGCCCAGAGTGCCATACAAGCTGGAACCGCCACTGCAGCACATTGTCCACCAGCACCTCTTCCTTCTCTCACTACACATATATATATATATATATATATATATGTATATACTGTGTGTGTGTGTGTGTGTGTGTGTGTGTGTGTGTAGTGAGAAATAAATATATGTATATGACTCTCTCATATATATATACAGACCCTTTCCAAAATAAATTAGAATATCAATGAAAAGTTGTTTAATTTCCATAATTCCATTCAAAAAGTTAAACTTTCATAGATTATAGATTCAGGGCCCACAATTTAAACAATTTCAAGTATTTATTTGTTTATTTTTACATAATTTGGGCTTCCAGCTCATAAAACCCATGAAAACAGGAATTCAAAAAATTAGAATACTGTGAAGAAATCACCATTTACTTCAAAGTTTTTGCAGAAAAAAAGAAAGAAATTAGGATCACATCAAATCAATCAAAATATGGTACTTTCAAAACGATATGTCAATCTTCAATACTTGGTTGGGAATCCCTTTGCCTTAATCACTGCCTCGATGCGACGTGGCATTGAGGCAATCAGCCTGTGGCATTGCCTGGGAGTTATGGAAGCCCAGATTTCCTTGATGCTTGCTGTCAGCTCTTCTTTGTTGTTGGGTCTGGTGCCCCTCATTTTCCTCTTGAGAATACCCCATAGAGTCTCAATGGGGTTTAGGGTTTCTAAAGAAAATTCCAATGCATTCCTAATGCATTATTTATTCCCAGTATTTTGGGAATAACTTTGGGAAAAATTGGAATTTTAACACCAAAAGTCATAGCACCTCTTTCGGGATCAAGACGCACGTTTTGATGTATATATTACTGGGGTTTTCTCAAAGCTGCAGGACGAGTTACGCGCCAAAATTTGGCGGAAGAATAATAAACTCGAAGGAGAATATTAATAGCTATTCTAGCTGTAGAGGAGTGCCTCGGAGCTGAGCACCCGTGGCACTAACAAGAGAACAGGGTCAGGAGTTCAACACCATCAAAGAAGAATCATATGAACACCAGATCTCATCACACAACCTCTCTTCAAAAAAAAGAATTCCTTTCGTTCTCTGGAGCATGCATAGTTGGTGCACTGCTGTGTATGATCAGATGTCCACATAGGGGTCTGTGGACACAGATGTCATGATCAAAGCAGACCCTTGAGGAAGTATGAACTGGTCTTTAGTTGACCAAGGTTTGATTGGTTGGTTCACGGCATGAAAATAAACATCACTCTCACAGGAAGTGGCTACACTCTGTCACTCTTTGCATCTTGTGTTTGTCTAACTGAACATATTTAGCAATAAAATACTAAACAAGACATAGAGACATAGAATGATGAACAGTAGCAGTAATTACAGTAATTACAATAATTACACACCGGTACGTCAGGCAGGAAATCGAAGTGTGGATTGTTTCCGGAGGGTAAAGAACAACAGGCAAACATTCACCTGTCAGTCATCAACATCAAACATGACTCATCATTTGAAACATGTGAGTAGCCTAGTGTTAGCCACTTAGCATGGCTGCTTAATTAATTAAGTTAATTTCTTTTTTAAATTTGCAACAAACAGTCAACAGTCGAGCAGGAAACTCTTTGGTCCTAACTGTTAACCAGACACTGATGTTTCTCTTCAGACTGTGTAATTGTAGTGGTTTTTAAAGTCCTTTTCAAAAGATAAAACTATCTAGTATTTCACAAGAGCAAAGCAAAAGAAAAAAAACATTATATTTTATGGAGCAGTAATTATTTGTTTTCCTGTCACAATTGTTCAGCCCTAACCCTAACCTAAATGAAGCTAATTTACCATCAGCTATGTGGTAACGCAGTGAGTGAAGTGAGTCCTCACTGTTGTTGTGTTGATGACAGTCATAATGTAGGACTGGTCTGCGTTTCTCGTGACGGGGTATAAAGGAGCAGCTGATGCAGGGACAGGTACAGGAGTCTACAGCTCAGCAGGTGACAGGTCCTTCAACAGTCAGTGGGGGGGGGGTCCCGGGTTTGATGGCTGGGTAAGTTCATATGGCATGTGATAGTGTGTATTTTTTTTTTTATTTAAAATAAAATGTCCATGAAGCTGTCACTGTTTCAATGGGATGTCTTTCAGTAAAATGAATGATTTGTTTTTGGGCGGGGAAACTTGTTTTTTTCACTGTTGTTTTGTCACTTTAAAGAAGAACGATGCTGAATTCAACTTTATCATCTTTAACTTACTTCATCCTTGGAGCTTATTTTGACATTGGAAACTTAAGATACTTGTATTTCATGATAACTGCTCTGCTTTACTTTGTAATTATTATTGCCAACTCCTCTCTGATTGTAGTTATCTGTCTGAACAGAAGCTTACATGAACCCATGTACCTGTTCCTGTGCAGCCTGTTTGTAAATGAACTATATGGTAGTACAGGGTTGTTTCCATTCCTGCTGATTCAGATCCTCTCTGACATTCACACTGTTTCTGTGCCTTTTTGTTTCCTGCAGATTTTCTGTGTTTACACTTACGCCAGTGTCGAGTTTTTAAACCTAGCCATCATGTCTTATGACAGATACCTCGCTATCTGTTATCCTCTACAATATAACACACGTATGACATTTAACCATGTAGCTGTCTTCATTATTTTTGTATGGTTGTACTCTTTTGTGAAATTCTTAATCACTTTATCCTTAAACATCCGTTTGCCTCTTTGTGAAAACACCATCAACAGTTTGTATTGTCATAACTACCTTGTAGTGAAGTTGGCCTGTTCTGATACTAAAGTGAATAACATCTATGGACTGTTTGGTGTTGTTCTCACCATTGTAGTTCCTCTGCTTCCAATCCTTTTCTCTTACATGAAGATTCTCAAAGTGTGTTTTTCTGGTTCTAAACAGACCAGACAGAAAGCTGTCAGTACCTGCACACCTCACCTTGTGTCTCTGCTCAACTTTTCTTTTGGCTGCTGCTTTGAAATCCTGCGGAGCAGGTTTGATATGACTAGTGTTCCCAGTGTGCTGCGGATCATCCTGTCTCTGTACTTTCTCATCATGCAGCCACTTCTGACTCCTTTCATGTACGGACTGCAGATGTCCAAAATAAGACAAACATTCAAACATCTCTTCTGTAATAAAATGTTGACTGGTTATAGAGATACTGTGTAGGTAAATAAAGTATTAATATCACACCTTGAAATGTGCTCATTAAAACATACAGCTGAGTGAGAGAAAGATTTAATGTTAAAATTGAAAACCATCTTCTGTTTTTGATGTAAGTTTATAGAAGAAATCAGGCAAAACATAAATAAGTCTGACAGACTGGTGGAAATATCAGTACAAAGGTACCTGAGGTTCCTCGGCCAGTCTGAGGTTACAGTAGAAAATAACTTCTTAGTTCTTAGTGCGAGGACCAGTTGACTGGATGGTGTGAGTGTCTGTGACTTTAGAAGGTGCAGGAAGGTTCTTGGTATAAAAGTGTTTTAATGTTTTGGCACATGTCAGCTGTGAGAGGAGTAAAGATTAATGAGGAGAGTGGACATCTCTTCTAAATTGAATTTAGCTTTTTCTCCAGATCAAAAGGGAACCTTGTAAATTGTAGGCGCATGCCTCAGTGAACTGAAGTGTAGCAGTCTTTACAGTATCTCGCTTGTTTAACTCAAGCTGTCAAATAAATGTAGTGGAGTAGAAAGTACAATATTTCCAGTGAACACTGTAGAGTAAAGTATAGATACCTCAAAATTGTATAATAATTGTACAGTACTTGGAATAAATGTACTTAATTACTTTCTACCACTTCTAATACAATTACTGAGACTTCAGCACACCGGTATTTTAATATTGTTCCATGACCCAACAGGTAAAACTCCTGAATTCACAAATGAAAACAAAGGGGATGACAATTATAGAAGCTGATATTAAAAAGGTAAAATACTAACTAAACCACCACAGACACACAAAGACCATTAACATGAAATAATAAACTGATGTCAAAACGTTTCTCTATAACAACTAATCCACCATTGTCTCACTGTTAATGACTGAGCACCATGTGTTTGCTAACATTAGATCATATATGACGTTTTACATTGGTGAGGAAATGACAAGCTAACACAAAGTGAAAGGGCATACCACTAGCTAGCTAACATTGGTTGGCTAAACTGTAACTTAAGGCTAAAGTTAGAAACTAGCTAACAATAGTTAGCCTAACTGTAACTTAAATCAATAGTTATAAACTAGATAACATTAGTTAGCTAAACTTTAACTTAAAGAGGACATGAAACATTCTAATTTTACAAGTTTTTATACATAATAAAGTGTGCTAGAATATATTTTGAAATTTTTTTGCATATAAAACAATTACACGCTAAGTTATTAAAGATTTATTATCCATGTTAACTTATGCCTTCACTCTGGTTTGCCACCATATTGCCTTTACGTCACACGCTACGTCATTAGGTTGGTGTGTGGGGATTCCATGCATTCAGCTACGGTGAAAAGCGACGAAAAATGGCCGAAGACGAAGCAGAGCGGACTTTCACTGACATTAATCGAAACCCTATGGCATATGCTTTCGAGCCGGTGAGGAGGAGAAGCAGAGAAAGTGCACAAAGCCACTTTAATCATTTAGAGGAGGAGGAGGAGGAGCAGCAGCAGCAAGTGGTTCCAGGAGGTGCGGGCCGGCAACACAACGTGGTGCTTGAGATGACATGTTTTTTGCCTTTGTGGCTCATCACACTGACAGACTTAAAAAAAAATTCATAGTTTAGTCCATATAAATAATGCACTGTGCAATATCAGAGCTGGATGACAAGTGGAAAAGTAGTAAAACTAAGAAGAATGAGTACGATCTCTGTAGAGGCAAAAAAAAAAAAAAAAAAAGAAAAAGTTTTTTCATATCATGATGACCTTTATTCAATTAAAATTCGAGGATCTGTTTTTTTAAGCTGTTTCCCCTGTCATCATTCATAATTGTGCGCACCTCTCTCTGTTCTGCCAGATGCCTGCGCCGTTGAGCCCTTTCCTTACGGCGCACAGCTACATCCTAGCTAGTACAGGGGGTGGGAATGTCTGTACAGCCTGTCTTGTAAGAAGAGAAGTTAAACACAGACGGCACAGCCTCGGGTTTCAACCTGTTGGTGCGGCAAGCGACTAGGACACTGGATTCAAAACTCATCTTCTCCACATAGTCCTCGTTTACAAAGTGCTTACTGCAAACCCTAGCATTACGGCTAACCGGAGGATTCACTCGTTTCAGTGCAGCTAGCCAACGACGAAACAGCACTTGCCGTTTAAGTGGTAAAGAATGAAAATAGACAATCTTTCCTTTGTTTTGAACTCCATAAAATTCATTGCTGCATCCAGGGGCAATACAGAAGTGCTCCCCCCAATTTGCTTTTTAGTTTGGCTTTTCTTACTCTCCATTGAGTCTGTCATACGAGCACTGTCACTCATCCTGTCACTGATTACCATATGTATACACGTTAGCATGTTCACCGGAACCAACCAAATGACGTCAAGCTCTACGCCAGGACAAGATGGCGCTACACATGTCAGAAAACTGTAATTTAGATTATTATTATTTTTAATCCAGTTAAACTGACAGGTGTTAAACATGTGAGGATGATTAGAGGGGTTATATGGCTTGTAAATTATGTGAACTTCACTAAGTGTTTCATGTCCTCTTTAAGGCTAAATTTAGAAGATCCATAGATATTTGACACAGTCTAATTAAGAAACTCTGAAGGTAAGAAAGTAAAGTGCATTAAACAGGTAGATAGCTACTGCTATTTACAATTACCTACAGTGTCTCAATTGATGGGAGTGAGGGAGGAAGATGAGACATCCAGCTAACATCAAGGTTTAGAAATGGTACGGTCCACTTTAGGGGTGTGTGAAATCGTAATAAAAGATTCCCAGGCATAATTATATGAAATATATTGTAATTTTTAAAATTACAGGTAAGAAAGATATATAAATGTTTCAACTCCCCAGAACTGGTGATTAACAGGTATGGGCCTTGACGATGAGATGGGAACTACTGGTTGGTATCCTTCTGTTCTGGGGGAGGATATAAAACAACACCAGCAATAGTCCGCTGCACATCAGCTGCTGCACATCAGCTGCACATCAACTGACAGAGGCTGAACTGTGATCACATGTCATTAACAGACTTACAGGTCGTGTGAGGACAGAAGTATACAGGAAGTTTTGCTGCTGCTGAGAGGAAACACCCTGTGACACTGTGTTAATAAGGTGCCAGTGTAAAACCAGGGAAATATTATAATGTCACTGTTTTTCAAAAGTGTTATTTTTGAAGCAAACAGCTAATTAATTAATAGGTTAAAATATTTTGCAACTTTAAATAATGATGTTGAATTCAACTTCATCTTATTTCATTCTTGAAGTGTATATATACGTAGGAACACTGAGACATTTTTACTTCATGATAACTGCTCTGCTTTACTTTGTAATTATTATTGCCAACTCCTCTCTGATTGTGGTTATCTGTCTGAACAGAAGCTTACATGAACCCATGTACCTGTTTCTGTGCAGCCTGTTTGTAAATGAACTGTATGGTAGTACAGGGTTGTTTCCATTCCTGCTGGTTCAGATCCTCTCTGACATTCACACTGTTTCTGTGCCTTTTTGTTTCCTGCAGATTTATTGTTTGTACACATATGCAAATATAGAGTTATGTAATTTAGCCGTCATGTCTTATGACAGATACCTCGCTATCTGTTATCCTCTACAATATAACACACGTATGACATCTAACAAAGCAGTTCTCTTTATCTCTGCAATATGGTTGTACTCTCTTGTGAAAGTCTTAATCACTTTATCCTTAAACATCCGGTTGACACTGTGTGGAAACACCATCAACAGTTTGTATTGCAGAAACTACCTTATAGTGAGGTTAGCTTGTTCTGACACTAAAGTGAATAACATCTATGGACTGTTTGGTGTTGTTCTCTCCATCGTAGTTCCTCTGCTTCCAATTCTTTTCTCTTACATGAAGATTCTTAAAATGTGTTTTTCTGGTTCTAAACAGACAAGACAGAAAGCTGTCAGTACCTGCACACCTCACCTTGCTTCCCTGTTAAACTTCTCTATTGGTTGTTTATTTCAGATACTTCAGAGCAGATTTGATATGACCAGTGTTTCCAGTGTTGTGCGCATCATCCTTTCTCTGTACTTTGTGATTCTCCAACCACTGTTGAATCCTGTCATGTTCGGACTGCAAATGTCTAAAATACGAAATACATGTAAACATCTCTTCTGCTATAAAATGTTGACTGGTCAAAGAGATTTAATGTTGATATAATAAAAATATCAGTAAATCATTTATCATAACTTGCACTGAAATGTTTGCTCAGTTTATCATAACCTGCAATGTGGTAACAAAACGTGGCAAACGTTAACCTGAGACAAGACAGGTGTATGGAAATTTATGAATTTTTAAAATTGCACTTTATGTAATAAAATATTCAAGCAGCTTATAACAATACAACTCTGAAATGCACCTTAAAACTCTGAAACCCAGAAAAATCATTTTAAGAAATGAGATAAGTGTGTTAGAAGTCAAAATATTTACACCACACAAACACACCAACCTTAAAAATATGATAAAATAAACATTTATTCAGACTGGCCATTATACAATGAAAGATAATGGAAAAGGTTCAATCTCTCGTCATTATGTCACTGATAGTGTAGTCAGTCAGACTACATGTACAATTAAAGTATTTCTACCCAGAACTCACTGTTGACCTAGAGTTACCTGGCTGAAAACCTGCAAGGGTTGAATGGTATTACCAAGTTGTCTGCTTTATAGTTAAATGGTAATGAATGCAATCAATCAATCAATCAATCAATCAATCAATCAATCAATCAATCATTTTACTTGTCCTAGTGTGACAATTGGGTATGCAGCAGTGAGACATAGTTTTTGTAGTAGGGGGTAATAAATGGGACACACATCTCATGCAAAAAACTGACTTTTAGGTGATGTAAATAGACAAAACACAAACAGCTTCTGAAAACATCTTCATCAATTTGACAACACAGGAACTGCAAATACTGACTTCACATGCAAACACACAAATACCATGAAGGGGTAATTCTAACCGCAGCGGCCCGGGTTCGAGTCCAACCCGTGGCCCTTAGCACCATATTATGCTCTCTCTCTCTCTCCCTCTCTCTCTCACTCTGGCCATCAGAATTAAGGCAAAAAATAACTTTAAAAGAAAAAAGTGATGAACCTGGCTTAGATGCACTTGTTATTCAATGCTTTCAACTTCAAAAGTCACAATTGGGCTTTGAACAAGTCCCAGGCAGGTTCATCAATTTTTTGTTTCCCTTGGAAACAGTTCCCTTGTTTTTTGTTTATTTGCAGCACACATGTTTTCAAATCAATGAATTTGCATGGGGGGCGCATATACACTGTACACCTGTAATGTTGAGAGGGCTACATGAGTTCTTCTTGTTACCTCAGCAGCACTCCCAAAACAGCAGACAAGTGTGAGCATGTGAAAAAAACAAGCATTTCCTGGTAGGAAACACCGCAAAATAGTAATAAAAATCCGATTAATGTCCATGTTACAATGCTTATAAGTTGCTCTTTTAAAAGAAGTCCAACTGTGAGCAAGAGGGAGATAACTTCTGTCGCGTTATTAATGTTGAGAAACTCCAGTGAGTGACCACGTTGTCTGCTAGTCTGTTGTTAATAGCCACTGTGAAAGGAGGCTGCATTAAACTTACTGTTGAGTCAAGATACTTTTCATAAAAACCAACCAGTGATTGTGAAAATGTGGTTTAATGTTTATTACATGCTTTGGTGCAACTGTATCATTGTATTTATAGTCTGAAAAGATCACTAGCTGCTATTCGCTAACTGCTAAGGGTTAATGGCTAAGCTAATTTCTAACTCCGGCTAACAGAGTGAATGATACCGTGTCAAAACTTTAAAGGACCATTGCACTGTTTTTTTTAACATTAAAATCGTTATGTTTTAATGAAGTTATGCACTTTTATTTTTTTTTAATGCCATTAAATGGTAATTTAACTGATTTTGGTTGCTAAATATACATGTAAAGTTAATCATAAAGGATCATTTAGTTCATTTTCATGATTAAGTTAACAGTATATTAAAATGGTGCATAAAAATGTAACAATACAGCAAATAATTCATATAAATGTTGAAATACTAATATTTTTTTACATAAGAAATTCATAATAAGCAATCTTTTACTGTTAGAATACAAATGTTGATGTGACAGAGGGAAAATTCGTTGTAAAAAATGTATTGTTAAAGTTAAAAAAAAACATCTGTTTTAAAGAAATTCATGGTAAATTCTTCATGTTAAAAATACCAGTTGTTAAAATATGGTCATTGTAGACCTAGTTAGATGTTAGTGTCTTATTACTACTTCTGGTTAGCACTTAAGACGCTACAAGTTGCTGTGTGTTGAGCTCTCAGGTCCACTGTTTATTACACTGCAAAAACTCAAAATCTTACCAAGTATATTTTTCTAATTTCTAGTCAAAATATCTCATCACACTTAATATAAGACAAAATCACCTAAAGAGTAAGATTTAAGTGAGATAAAGGAGCTTGTTTTTAGACAGTGCATCTTGAATATCTTGTTAAGTGAAACAGTCTTGAAAACATCTTGTTTTGAGTCATATCTCAGATGAAACAAGCTTTTTTGACATGTCATAAGGTTTTTAAGCTGCTGTGTTATTTGTAAAAGATGAATCGTCTTGTTTCAAGAAACAGACTTAACTTGAATTGAGACAACAAATCTGCTTTATTGAAAACTGCATGGTCAACATGCCCAACTCACAACAACTCAAAATGCACAGTACAGTGTGGCTATTTTTCTTACATTTCCATCAAACCATGTCCATGTGATATGTAAAAAAGACAGAGGCAAAAGCTGGAATTATGTTTCCTTCTCTGTTCTGTTGCACTCTGGACATCTGGACATACTGCACCACATTATTCCAAAAGTAATAAGTAAAAATAAATGCTGTCATCAATTACAGTGTTTGTCAGTGCTTAAAAAAAAATCAGCCCAAATACCCACACTCAATACAGACTCAAGAATGATGTTTAATGATGTCTGTGAGATCATACTTCAGTGGAATGTACTTGCTATTATTGAAGTTTACATAGTAGTATGGGGTATAATCAACAAGCTTTTCAGCATCCATGAAAATATTGGCTTGAGCTAAGTCGGGAACTTCTACCTCGTAAGCTAAATAATGATCATTCCACCCAACTGTAGAGAGAGGTTGGCATTCAAAACAATACACTGACGCATTTAAAATATAAATGTTTTTCACAAGTGCAAACTGGAGTATCATTGATGACATTAGAAATAACCAAAGATTTTCCACATGTATGCTTATTTCCATGTTGCATAATCCACTGTACCAAAACTATATGTTCAACTTGCTCTATTCCTAAGAAGTCTTTAATCTTTCCTTCTACACAGTTAACATTTTTCACCTCAGAGGCTGGGCCCATGTCAACTTCACTTGAACAAATTGGATGTTTCTCGTGCACATTCTGACTACATTCATAAAGTTGGTTGTGCTTCACAAGAGACTTACAGATATTTTTAAAACTACTTTTCAAAGCCCACTGCTTAAAAAAGCAATACTTTGACTCAAAGCGCATACACATATGCCTCACTGTGGGACCAAGTGCCTTAATCTGAGAAGGAAGATGCAGCAAGTAATGCTGTTTAGGTATAATATTTGCATCTGGAAACAGTTGTTTGAAATGTTTTAAATGTTGCTCTATTAAAAGCTTTAGCCTTGAAAGAGTTGAGAGAGCAATAATAGGTGAAAACAGAATTTTGACTATCTCTAACAACTTAAGTAGCATTTGTGTGTAATCATTTTCTCCAATTTTGTCAATGAGAAATGGCAGGATCTTTAACAAAACCAGCATCTGCCCAGCGGACTGTTAAAATTTATTGTCATTTGATGACAGTGTATTGACAGATATGGGGCAAGGCTTATCCCTTGCATCCACAGGAGAATAAGGGAAACAAATAATTGCACTGTTGAATGCGTCTAAGTCCATATGCCCCGAAAGCACAAGATGCTTAANAGCCTTGAAAGAGTTGAGAGAGCAATAATAGGTGAAAACAGAATTTTGACTATCTCTAACAACTTAAGTAGCATTTGTGTGTAATCATTTTCTCCAATTTTGTCAATGAGAAATGGCAGGATCTTTAACAAAACCAGCATCTGCCCAGCGGACTGTTAAAATTTATTGTCATTTGATGACAGTGTATTGACAGATATGGGGCAAGGCTTATCCCTTGCATCCACAGGAGAATAAGGGAAACAAATAATTGCACTGTTGAATGCGTCTAAGTCCATATGCCCCGAAAGCACAAGATGCTTAAAAACACATTTGAGTTCATATGGGGCAACACCTTCAAGAATGACATGCATGCTGTCTTGTGGGGTTTGATTGATTATATCAAAGTGAGGAAATTCTGTTAATTTGCTTCTCCTGTTTATGCCATATGTCATTTTTAGATTGTCTTTCAGAAAGTCAGTATTTGCCTTTTCAATGTCATTGTATTGCCTGTTATGACTTGCCATTGTCCTTTTAACAAACACATCTTCATTAAATTGCTCCTGCATGTCTTCAAAGTTGCATTCACAGTGCCTGCATTTACTGTAGGCAAACCCCACTCCTGTCTTAAATCCAGCCACTTCATGCTGAGCTAGAGTGTCTCCGCACACAGACATAAGTGCCCCATAAATTGTTCTCTCACCATTTGCAGTGACAACCTGGACACCATCACACAGCTCAGTTAAGTCACGGTTAATCCTCTCAAATATCTCATTAATACCACAATGAGAAAGATCTTTTGATTTTACCATGGCAAGCAGATGAATGGCAGCAAGTCTTGATCTGTATTTAGGGTTGATGTTACCTAAGGTGTAATAAATCAATAACAATTTGTTTTTGTTTGCCCGAGATCCAAGAGGATTGCATAGCTCAATTTCATCTGTATATAAAACCAACTGCAACGCTGTGGGAAATTTCTAAAACAGTGGGTGCGACTTAAAAATGTCTCCATCAATGAAATCATGAAAAAATCCATCCTTGCATGTCTGTGGCCTCTCATCAATCATTGCAATAATTCTTGGATGTGATAGCAGCTGCTCCAAACTTTTCACCAACGGTATATAATGAAAACAATGGTCCTTAATGGTAAGAACTCTGGAGTCTCCATGTTTCACATAACATACTGTTGTTTTGCGACAA